GATGGGTGTTCTGCTTTCTGCTCTAGGAATTTTACTTAAATTTCACTAAGTAGGGATATATGTGCACACCTTATTTGAAATCCCACCATCCTATTATCGAGCACTAATCTGCAAAATGCTGTGTGTCAGTCTGGCGAAGGGGTGGCACTCTCGCTTCTGAGTCAGAAGGTTGTGGGTTCAAGCCCTACATCGGCACTTGGAATCACAGTCTAAGTTAACACTCCAATACAGTGCTGGGGGGTTGGGGGGGGGGGTGGTTTGTATCATCGGAGATGCTGTCCTACGGATGAGATGTTGAACCGAGGTCCCTTCTGCATGTCCAGGTGGATGTGAAAAAGGGAAAGGAGTTTCTCCCGGTGTCCTGGGCGAGAATCCCTCAAATAAAATTGGTCACTCACTCCATAGCTATTTGTAGGACATTGTTGTGTGCAAACTGGCTGCTGCTTTTCACCCACAAATATAGTCAATCCACTTTACAGTATAGATAAACTGTGAAGCACTTTGAGATGTCTCGACCATGTCACAAGGCTTTACATCAAATGCAAGGATTATTCTTATAATTATTGTCCCACCTCTTCACAAAGTTTCCAGCTGAGCTCAGTTTGGGTTGCATTCTTGCTTGTGCTCAAACCGCTCAATTTTATTTCCAGGAAGAAATGGCTGCTCTAACACAGAGCCCAATTGAAAAGGAGAAAATTAGCATTGAGAAATATGTTTCAATAATTCTTCCAAACAATAAATTGCAGCCCGTTAAAAAAANGTTTGACCACCGTAGAAGTCTTTCAAACCACACTTTATTGTGTTTTAACATACCAATACGCAAAAATATTACTTAGTAAATGTAGTTACATTTGCATACTGCAGACAGAACATATATGAATCTTTCTATTCCATGTGCACTGTTGCTTCCGTATTGTTTTTGTTGCGGATTTATGGGATGGTTTCTGAACCCAATTTGGCCGTACAGCCTAGTGCAAAAATCAGAATCCTAAATAGGTACAGTTTCCAGAGAAAACAACTCACCAAGTTATATTTACAGCCTCAGTCTTGTTCATCAAACACACTCGCCAGTGTTCATATTAACACTAATTCTATCGGGTGAAAGAAACCCAAACAGCTTTCACATGCAATTTCTCTCACTGCCTTTGTAAAGGCCTTCTTACCCAGTTGCTCAGATTGAAACGCAAGAATGCCACAATTTGAAACAATACATCATATATATATATATGTGTGTATATACCTAATAATTTGAAGTACATCAGTAATTATAAGAACAATAATAAGGAATTCAATTAATCCTCCAATTTTCACCAATACAATCGCCATTTGGACCCAAACATAAAAGCTTTTTCTTTGACTAAATCCCCGATTGAATCAACTATATTTGACTTCACTTTGAAGTGCCCATCAAATACTGTTGCTCAAGATGCCCAAAACAAAGCCTGATAAATACTGTGTAACATGCAAACTTCATTTCCCCTCTAAACCTCCAAAGCCCATAGACAGCATATCAACAGCATTTGTAAAATAAAATTCGAGTGATATGCAAAAGCAGGGAAATGTTGTTCCACTTGCTCTCCGCTGCTAAAAAGTGCTCCACCTAGCAGCCCACAGCAGAACTGCCTTCCTCCCTCCTACCTGCGCACATTGAAAGTAAACTTCAGTTAAGGCTGGTATTCAATCTCAAAATGACAAGTCGAGCATTTTACGAGATACCAGGTTGCTAACATTAATACAAAAACAATGAACACACGTCTTACAACGCACCATGTATCGGTGAGCCATCGAAGCGCCATTCTTCTGAACAGTACACTATAAAAGGGTCAAATCAAAATAATACTAATAATAATCCTTGCATTTGATATAACGCCTTATCACATCTTTGAGGCGCCTCAAAATGCTTGCGCTATGGCCTCAGAATCCTGGATGAATCAATCGACCATTAGTAACCACCTCAGAGATGAACACTATAAACCTGCCCTCTCCTCCATTTTCGGTTAAGCCACTATTTTCATGTCAGGAATTTCACTTTCCCATCAGTGTGGATCAATGTCATTATAGCTCGAGGGAACTTTTCCAATAAGAAATTTTCAAGATGGTATTGACTGTTCTAAATAAATATCCTTCCAGCACAATGTTTTCTGGTTAGGATATATGTGTTTAAGTCTACCTTGAGTGAGGGACTTCTTTATAGTTACATAGATGAGCTTCTATCTCATTACAAAGGACAAGCTTTGGTGAACCAACTTTTCCCTTGTGGGCAGCTTAAATGTAACAAGTCTTTTCAGTTTACTCACAATCTATTCCTTGAACCAAAAATATAACTGAGCAGCTGAATGTATATAGATTTACTCTGTAAAATATATGCGATCTGTACAAAATACATACACACACCCAGCAAATTACAAAGGTTTTTTTTAAAAAAAACAAGTGAATTAGAGGATACGGATCTCTGCCAATCAAAAGGTGCAATTAAATGTACTAATTAATTAAGCAACTTCATTATCTGAACAATCATCAACAAATGGTAAAGCTTCAGCACATCGAGAAATTGCTTGTGAGCACGCAGGTTCCCATCAGGTAGCTTACATTTCTAAACTAGCGCATTTACAAGCCAAGTTCCTTCCTACTAATGCTTATAATGAATGGCTCAGTCTATTTCACGCTGCAGGGGCACACTGACTGCTGGATGAAGGCACAGCCCCATTTAAATTGGCTTATGCTTGCCCAACGCAACATTAAATAGCTTAGAACGTAAAAGTGGCATTGCAGTAAAACTTATTCCTAAATCGTACATTCACTCGAGTCCTATTCAGTTTCTTATCAAAACCATTTGAAGATTTCTTTGTGCTACTCGTACTAACCTCCTCCGAACTCGTAAAGTTTCCCTACCCTCCATCACTCCCGCACTTACCAGCTCCACTGAATCCCGAGAAATGACATCCTGATCTATTGACGCATGCGTACTTACCGGACGACTGCATCGAACTGCGGGAAACATAGTCTTGATCTGTTAATCTGTCAACACTTGAGCGAAGAACTTCATTTCCCGCAATTCAATGCAATTCCAACATGTGCCGGTAAGTGCACACAGGGTGACGGTTCATGTCGCATTCAATATAGTCTTGACTTGTCACCACATGCGCACTTACTGGCTGCATTGACACACCACCGCATGCATAATTCAGTGCAGTGCATGCGGTAATTCATCAATGCAGCCGTGTAGACTATTGATTAAATCGGATTTAATACTGTATGCAACATACAGTTTGCCTGCAGCTTGGACTTCGCCCAAGTCATATTAAATGTCATGGTCCCAACTGATAAGACTTATGCGAGTTTTACTGTACTACACTTGCATTTGATACAGTTTAAAATGACCAACTTCGGGATGAATATCAGGTACAGCACCCCGACACAGAATCCGAAACAGAACCATGAATTGGCTGACACCAGAGATATAAAAGGATCCCTGCTGGCAGGTTTAGTTTAAGACAGGTGGCTGAGTTTATAGGTTAAATTAGAGAAGAAAGTGCATCAAGTTGCAAAACGGGGCAATTTGGATTGCTTTGAAGAAATCAATATTTGGAAAATATGCGATGAGAGAACAGATAGGATGAGAGAGCTAGTGATCTGGAGGTTTGGCATCAACTCAGAGCAGTACTGAAGCCATTCCATACTAACAAGCACTGCAAAGAAAGGGGATGATTCACAGTACACTTCTGCACAGTGAAACATAATTAAATAGCAACTGGTTCTGCTAACGATTTAAGATTGAAATATATTACAATTGCTCCACAATTGTAATATATTTCAATTATCATTCATCTTCCATAACTTGCTCCCTAAGCAATGAAACATTTCCATACAGTAATATTACTGCTTGCCCAAAAGTTCTAAAAAATGATCTGCAATGTTGTCACTTACACCAGAATGTTACAACGCTTCGATTTAATCTAAAATGACCTCTTTCATTTAAGGCTTGCTTCAAATTTGATCCTTTCATTCTTTTGGGATCATTTCTGCATCCCTTTCTAGCACAAAAGGTTTAAATAATGGTTAAGTTTGCTCTCTCCATTCATTTTCTAAGATCTTGGATCGAAAATGAATGGCGATCTCCTGGATCTATATCGGACACTTGCTCATTCGCAGAAGGAATCAGTGAAGCTGTCCCATTTTCCCAAACCCAGGTAACTGAGGCCAACTGCAAGCACCTCTAAGTGTTGCCCTCGCTGAGATCATCTATTTTAGCATAGATCGGAATTTAATAACTTGTGACCTTATGCTCTGTGAGAGCTAGTGCCTTTAGCCACCAGACAATCAAAAGGACATCATTTCGATGGCTAACTTTACCACTTTTCTAATTCGCGCTTTCCCCTCAAGGGCTTGAGGATGCTGGGCCAGTAAATATTGTTAGGAGATGGGTCAGGCTAGGGTTCAGAAACTGTGGGTGGCAATTAAATATGCCTTGTGTTTCTGGTACCTCTTGCAGCTGTTGTATAGAATTTTTCCTCAGACTATTGAACATATTGAAAGGAGAAGGGAGTAAAAGCTTGGTTTTATTTCCCATTAGAGTATGTAATTCCTTTCAGGGGGGACTGAGTTTTTCTGGGATACTTGCAAGGTCTTCAGGTTTTCGTCACAATTGGAGCACCCTTTTATAGTTCAATAATTCGGCATTTAGTAATTTAGCATCAATGAGTAAGGCAGTCATAGGGCTCAGGATTACAGTTAAACTCATATCGCACTGCTGTTTCAACTCTGTTTTGCCAAATGTAATTAGTATTATAAGCAGAGATCAAGTACTAGACTTTGATGGCCAGAAATTCCACCTAGTCTTTACCCTATTAAGACCATTTGTCTTAATAGGGCAAAGAGATGGTGGTGAATTGTTAAAAAAGTTTAAATCCAGCCATAATTTAGAAGCTAATCCTTTCCAACAACTGTGAAAAATGGCTTCCAAATTAAGACTGTATTTAAGTGTTTTTCACAATTCTGTGCAAACTGAAATTTTGAATACAAATGGTCTTACAGGCTAAAATTAGACAAGATTTAAGGCCTTTAATCAATATTCTCATCATCACTCATTGGGATATGGATCTTATTATATATATTATATTTATTTAGTTGCAAGAATAGCATGGACTGAACATTTAGTATTATAAGGGATCAGCGATTCCAATAGCCATATATACTTTTACAAATAAAAGGGACCCTGACATGCTAGAATAGTTTTAGAGTTTAAATTTATTTTACTAATGCAAATTAATTAGCAAAAACACACACACATCCAACACACACACACACTCATTTTTTACCTTCTATGCGCTGTTCACAAAAATCCGTTACCCAAGATAGGACTAACTTTGACATAGTGAATGGGACGCCCCGCAAGGCTCCTAATTACTGAATAGTGCAAGTGTTTTCTGCCACACAGCAACTGCAGGCTGATGAGGTGACAGGCTTCGGAGGAATTAAGTCAAGATCCTCATCGTCTGGGATTTCGTCCAGACGGTAGCCGTCTTTCAGGAGCTGTTGGTTCAGGTCTTGATTTACCTGCTGTTGAGAAAGAGAAAAAGTTACTGAGTTTAAAACAAAAGTTGGCTTAAATTCTGGGATTCAGTGTAGCTTAAATGCTTTTTTCAAAAGCCAACTGGAGTCCCATGTGTCATGGATAAGAGCATTCGCCTCTCAAGTGAAAGGATCCGGGTTCAATTCCCAGGACGGGAAAAACCTTAAGTAAGTTTCCTTACTCCACACGTGTCCGTTTATCTAGCAGTAAGTAGAAACCCAGTTGTCTGTCGATTAGGGGATCGCTTTCCGACTGTTTGTGGGACACTGCTGTGCACAATTGGCTGCCAGTTTCGCTCACAAAATACACAGTCAATCCACTTTACAATATATTCTGTGAAGCGCTTTTAGACGTCTCAACAATGTGATAAGGCACGATATCAAACGCAAAGCTTATTATTATTTAAGTTCCAATGAATCATACAATCTAAGTGCATTGAAATTGAAACTTCTAAAGCAAGGTTGTTACTCAGCTCACCTCTGCAGAGGAATAGCCTGAAGATGAATAATATTTTGATTCAAATTCCCCATCACTGGAAAAAAAGCATCGGACATTATTTCAAAATGAGCGAGTGACACAAAAATAAAATCAAAAATGTTCCAAACTGAGCCTCACAATATTAATATTCATTTTGCTATAAAATTGCTGATTTGGGATTGGAGAAAAAAACATGGTGTTGGGTCTCCTTAGCGTCAATTTCAATTGTTAAATAGCAATAGATTTAACTTTTAACTCTTAACTCCACAACCTGAAGTAATTCCTTTTGAGATAGTCAAAAGGTGAACCTCAGCGTGGGGATTTACTATACTGTTCCGGTCACAAGCCTCAACTCCACCATTCTTTGCCAGTCAGGGAAATGGAACTGAAAGTATTTTCAAATTAAATGGTTCGGTTGGGTTAGCAACTCTAAAGGCTACAGTATTGAAAATAAGGGTTAAATATTTCTCCTCTTGGTCCCAGTTGGGTGGTGGTGGGGGGGGCTGAAGAGGTTAAGTGCAGTATAAAGCACTTTGAGAATCCTCCAGTTCTCCTGATGTAAGAGACTAAATAAATATAAATTGCATTGTACCGAAGTTTCAGAGACTTTTATGACATGAACCCTAGGGAAAATATAAATTGGTTTTATAATTTTCTTTAAAAAAACACAAGTGAATTGAAAGCCCTTGTAGCTAATAACTTGTAAGGGTTCAGAAAATTGTCAAGTCATTTTAATTTGCAGTGATTGTGGTGAGAATGTAATCCTTACCTGTCAGAATCCAAGTACACTAAAGAATCATCTGGATTCTGGTTCAGTGCAGCATAGCCTTTGTTGAACTTCACTGACCTAGTGCAAGATGAAACCAAATGAAATCTAATTATTGGATATCTTTAATAAAAATAAGTGCAAACTACTTGATTTCACTGAAATTGTAAGGGAACAGCTAAATTTAAGATTTAGATATTTGAAACCACTTCTTGGGATTTTTTCCCAACTTTTCAGAAAAACCATTCAGCGTTTCACAAGAATGAATTTCAGCATTATAACAAGCTTTTGCACTTTTGAAAGGTTGTGTTTTTTCAGGTTCGTTTTATTTATCGTAAGGTCAGACAGATATGTGTATTTCTTGATGGTGCCCTGGAGAGAATATAAAAGGGAAAACACTACAGATCCAAACAGGCAGGACATAAAAACACAAGATGCACAAAACCAAGCCAGATTTCAAGCGGTTAGCAAGGCTGTTAATTTCAGAGGAACGAACGGCAACAAAATCCATTTCAGAATTATTTTAACATCTGAGAATTTAATCCAAAAAGTAGAAACAAAGAGATTCACTGGAGATCAATTTGCAAATTACCAGAATGTTGATCCCGATCAGTTTCATTCGAATGGATGAGAGACTTAAAAATCTGATTGAAAATATATTTTTCTGAAAAATGAATCGATTCATTCAATCTGTGCTAGTTATCTGGTGACAGTCAAAAGCTACCGAATTCACAGTGGTTGCAGATGATCTTTTCCATGTCTTCAGTCACAAACATTTTGTGGATCAAAGCTTCAAGCAAGCAGGTAAACGATTTTGGTAAGCTTACCTTTTTTTATAACCAATTATACTTTGCCTTCAACTTCTCGTCCTTAACCAGCTGTGATTTTTTTAAGCAAAAACTGGAATTTTTCATTAGAATACTGAAAGAGTTGGAGTCAAAGTAAATACATTGTAGAAGTTAAGCTTTTACTTTCAGAACATAGATTTAACAGAATTTGGGGGGATAATTTTACATAAGAATTTTAGTTCTAAATGATGGATTAGACTAACAAAATTCCTGTAACATGGTCATTGGGGCACAACTTACACGTTTACAGAAGCTAAATTAAGGAGTTGTGTTTATAGGAAGTAAGGCTATTGGAATCTTTTGAGTTAGATGTTAAAACTATTCTGCATTGAGAGGCAAGGACTATTACTAACAATGCAGATTGAAACCTTTTTCCTACAACTAAGATGATTGATCATGATTATCATTTAGAATATTTATTTTAAGTATCAATTTTATTTCCACAAACACCAATAGAACTATCAGAGAGACCAAGCCAGGTTTGCTGTATGAAAACCATTGCTTTGGAACCTCAAAATCCGGGAAAATTCATTTTTCTCTCCTGGCTTTGTTATTCGAAAATACTGGATGCAATCAGAGCAAGAAACAGATGTCCTCATTTGCTCAAAACCTGAGATTTCAAGCTAATTGAGAAGCTACATGGAACCTTGCCCTTGGATAAAGGTCAAAACTGCAGCCATTTTGAAAACACATTCATCAACCAAGATCTTGGGTAGATCCAGAAATGTGAGTTGGAAGCTTTATGTTTGGGTCAGCCAAGTGTCTGACACACACAAGGAAACCCATCACCATACTTAAGACATTCCAAACTACTGAGAGTTCAACGTATGTATTTTTTCAGTTGGTATGGCATATAATATGCACTCTACCTAAGTAGGAACGCACCGTTTGCCTAATTCAGAAAAATATTAGCCATGGGTTGACGAGAGGACCTCAAGAGAAAGTACATTCAGGTACCATTGTGGAGTCAGCTAAGGGCCCACAGCTCGCCATTTTTACACATTTTGAACAGTGTTCACAATTTTTCCGTAAAAGACTTTCCTTCCAAGTCAGGAGCTTCAAAGGAAAGCTTCTTATGAGCAAATATTGTGAATTCCAGGCCGGTTGTATTGAAATATCTGTGTTATATTCACAGCATTGAAGACGTCAATGCTGGTAAACGAGGCTAAGCCACCAACCTTTTGGTGCCCGATTTTGGTTGCTGGATGATTGGGCCTCCACCAATTCCTTTCTTCTTTAGTACTTTTCTGGCTAATTCTCTGTGTTTCTCTATAAAATAGAAAAAGAAAGATTAGTTGAAGGTGCAAAGCATTTAGTTGAAAGAATTAAAAATATAGCACAAACCGGACATTCACTGAGGGTCAGATACAGTTATCAGAGAGAAATCTGAACTGAATATAAAAAGAAATGTACAACACAGTAGGATGTAATATGACCTATTATTTTTCTGTGCAAACATCCAATCATGCTGGATATCTGCACGGAAAGGATATGCAACTGATCTCAGCCAGACAGTGCAATTAATGACAATAAGCAAAAGTAACCAGGACAAAAGACGCAATGAGATTAACTGCGTAGTGGGCATATCCAACTCAATCAAGCCGAAAAATAGGCATAAAGGAATTACATAGAATGTTAAGATTACGGAACCAGGCCATTTGGCCCAACTAGTCTTTGCCAGTATTTATACTCCACCCCAACTAATCCCTTTTATTCCTTTCTCTTGCATATATGTATTGTGTTTCTACTAAAATACATGTACTTCAAGCAAAGCATCCAGCAGCGAGCTCCACATTCGTATACCCTCCGCATAAAGAAGTTCCTCCTAAACTCCCTCAAGATCTTACATTTATGCCCCTCGTTTTGGACTCACGGACAAGTGGAAACTCCAAATCCTTTCATAATGTTGAAAACCTCCATCGGATAAAAAAAATAAGCAAAGGGAAGTGAAAGAATCATTATGTAGTTGCAAAATATTAATGTTGCACAACAGGTTTTACATTTATAACATATGTGTTACTCCCCCTCCCCAGTCAGGATCTAAATAGGTAATAGAAGGAAACAGTGCAAGTACAAATTAAAATAACCACTTTCATAACCAAACTGTAAAACTTAAATCTTTCTTCATTGGTAGTCCTGCTTTATATTTGAGGTCAATCCACAGCATCAAACTTATGTAGAATGAAAAGAAAGACCTCAATCCTTTGTGGTTTCTTGTACAGTGGAGTAACTGGACTAGGAATGGTAGGCAGGTGAGTGGAGCTGCCTGGAAGGTAATACGGAAGCACAGGTGAGGAAACTGCGGTCAGGGTGGCAGCGAGATAGAGGCAGTGCGGCCTGCAGAGGCACAGAAAGAAAGGGCGACAGCATGAAAGGTCCTGAAGCCATCTCACCGGTGAGAATGGGAGGTAATAAAGTAGCAGGTATGTCATCAAGCAAGAGTTGAGCACATATAAGGAGCACTCAGTAAATGGGTCACTGGAAATTAACTAACGCTCTTATGGACAGAGATTGAGTGTTTAGAAGATGGCTGCAACTCAGCAGAGAGAAGCAAAGCAAAGAGAATGGTTGGTGACAAAGAGTAAGAAGGGCTCAGAATTTGTAGGAGGATTCTCACCAATTCCCCGCCAACTCCCCCCCCAACACACACACACACACACTTTCTTCTCATCTTCTGAACGTGTTGGAAATCTCTTTTTCCTGGGTATGTTTTCATAGGCACAAAATGATATGTACAGATCTATAAAACAGTCCAATAATCCAATTTAATCTAATTTTTGATATATATGATATACATTATAGGCCTATAATTTAGGTGTCACCCTGGCTCTGTTCGAAGCACTTTCACCTCTGAGTCAGAGGTTCAAGCTGCATATCCAGACTTTGAGTTCATAGTCTAAGTTGACACTCCAATTCGAACTGCTGTCTTTCCGTCAGAAGTTAAACCAAGATCCTGTTTATCTGTTCGGGTAGACCTTAAAGATCCCATGGCAGTAATCAAAAAGAGAAGGGAGTTTCTCCCAGTGTCCTGGACAAGATTCGCACAAATACAATCCTGACTAACAATCCCTCAAATAAAACTATTCATTCACTTCAAGGCTTTTTGTGGGACATTACTGTGCACAAATTGGTTGCCGCCTTTGTTTACAAAGTACACAGTTATACGCTCCACAGTAAATCCTATGAGACGTTTGAAATCACAGTTACTATATTACATTGCAAGGATTATTCATTTATTAAACTAACAAGGGAGGCCTTGGAGACTAATTGTATCACCCAGTGCAACAAAGAATCAGATAGCTAATTGGCAAAGAATATTTAATTGAGAGAGCGCGAATAGCAAAAGATTAATTAGTTATTTTATTTATTATTTTTGGGACCCATCAGATGGACTGCAGTGGTCTTTTCCGATTCTTAGATTAAATGAGGTAAAGAAAGGGAAATGGTAACCATTTTCCTCTGTTCTCCCAATCTGCCCAGGACATACCACTGAATATTGGATAACCGAAGAGCTCCTCAGTAAAACCCAGCTGACTTGCGTTTAAACCAAAGCAGAAGTCAAATGCTCTGTTGAGAAAAGTTAGAGGATCCTGGTGTAGACATTCCACAAACAGCCACATACTGATGTCCTTCGATCCTTCAAATGGATCAAACGTCATTGTCATTTTTAAACTTCTCAGGGAAGAGTTTTGTCATTAGCTGTACACCATAAAGGTACGAATCAGATAACTTCACAACCAGAAATAATATAATTTTAAAAAACGGATATTCATAGAGCACTATTACAATAAGTTTGGTTTATAATTAGCATTGGCCAGATTTAGGTTAGGGATTTTTCTGAAGAAGCAAATCATCATAAACAACCCAGTGAGGTCACTAAAGCCACTGCAGCATGACAACGGTGCATACAGGGACAACATTCCACAGATGAGTCGATTCAATGGTGTAAAACAGAGTACGGTATACCTCACATAAGTTGTATCAGTTGGGACCATACATTTAAGACGACTTATGCAAAGTACGAGTTATGTCAAACTTTCAGAGAAGATAAACTCTTGAATGGGACCTGGGTAGATGTATGTCTTAGGCAATTATACGATTTATACAGATCTGACTTATTTGAGTTTTACTGGACAACACAACTCAAGATATTCCCTTCCTTATTCTGTTTCACTTCATCTGTTTCAAAAAACTAAGGCAAAATAGAGTTACTATTTTGGAATGTAAACCCCAGTGATCATGACATTGGAATCATCACACTTGCAGCATCCATAACCCATCCATAACCATCGTGCTGACCGGCTCAGTTGTGACTTACGTAATTTCATATGAATCGTAGGGGCTCTGGTGGTCACAGTTGGTGTTTTTCTCTCCAATCCTTTTACTGCGCTCTCATTTTTCCAGCTTTTGCTGTGACCCTATTTAGAAGCAAGACAGAAGACATCTGAGCCTAAGATTGAAGGAAGCAAATTAATGTCACACGCTGTATGTGTAAGTTGGAAGATCATTAAATACGCATTCCATTTACAGACATAGATTGAATGCATTGAAGAAGTGATTATGCTAAATCCGAACCCTAGCTCATTTCCCCCTCCTTATCCCAGGGCTATTGTAGTGGCCATCAGGGTCTATCTGCAATTAGTGCATTCTACCATTGTCATTTTGCTTTCACTTGTTAATACCAGAACTAAACATAGAAAACACAAAAAAGGTCTCCAAAAATAACCTGCTAGATAAGAGAGCTCCACACTTCAATATATAATGTAAGAATGGAGATAACATTGGACTAAATAGTATAAGAAGAGTAACTACAAAGCAGTCATTTTAAGAGTCCTGTAGCTCAGTACTTGGGGCACTCACCTCGCAAGCGAGAGAGCTGGGTTCGATTCCCGGCAGGGAGAAACCTTGGGCAAATTTCCTTTTACCTACTGAATTTTCCCAGAGACTTCTGTTTTTATTTCACTTTACAGTATATTCTGTGAAGCGTTTTGAGACGTCCAGGCGACGTGAAAAGTGCTATATCAAATGTAAGGATTATTATTAAGAAGCTTTCAGATTTAATTTGTAAATTTGGGTTCATCTGAACCTCAAGATTAGATTATTATTTGGGTTTCCTTCCAGAAAAACTGATCACTAGAGGGAGTAAAAATTATACAATTTTCTTCAGAAAGACAGCAAACTCAGCTCATGCAGTTCCAGAAATATAAGGTGAATATTGTGATTAACTTAACACTTGGAGGTCTGTAAGTTTCCCTCCCTCCTTCTCACACACACAGTAAATTTCTTCTCTTTTATTCATGTGACCAGTAAATGTACAAATTGAACATTTACAATCTAATTTGGATTTATTCCCAGGCCTCAAACCTCACACTCATTGCCGCTTTATCCCGGGTTTATGTGTGTAATTGACTCATGAGAGAAAGAAAGAATTAACAAGTCAAACCAGAATTGTTTTCTTGGTATTTTGATTGTTGGCGTTCAGATTAGCACATCTAGTAGGCTTTTACTTCTAATCGAGAGTCTACAGAAAAGTTGAAAAAGCAGAGGGGGATGCTCCATGTCCAAAGTGAAAGGGATGGAACAGATCTCAAATAAATAATAATTTGTTCACTTAATTCATGACTGTTTGTGGGACACTGCTGTGTGCAATTGGCTGCCCCGTTAGCCCACAAAATACACAGTAATGCATGAAATTCACTTTACTACAACAATATGCGAGCTAATTTCAGGAATTACAGTATCCAGACTTAGTTTATTCAACAGATTCAAGGATAAGTGTGAGGTCAAAACAAATAGGAGTCAATCGTCACCAAATGTCAAATCTTTGGCATCAATAGAAATCAGGAGAAAACCTGAATGTCAGGACATTAAATTAAGCTTTGGTGACACATTTGAATGTTTGTCCTTATATCTGAAGAAAAAAGCAAAGTTTCCCTTTCTAATGGAACAAGAATTGATCTTTTGGGTTCTTTTTAAAACAATATCTCGGTTCAATTGAAACAGTACAGCACATCAGTAATACATAGCAGAGTAAAGCTAAATGAGCTTTGTTAAATCCGTAGCAATCAAATGCCACCTTCTATCGACTCAGCACTAATTCAATAGAATGGAACCATTTCAGTACAGCAATCACAATTATACGCTATGTCTCAAACTAGTCTGAAGCAATTATACTAGTGTGGTCACTGGGGATTATTTATCATATCACCAATAGAGGAGGGGGTGGGAGGGGAAGAGTGTATAATTCCAAACTCTCCTTTTCAATTTTCTCAATTCATCACTTAAAGTGCTCTTGCGACCATCCCTACCAGTACAATAGCTAAGCACAATTACAGCAACAGTTTAACCCTCTCATTCTCTCTCTCTCTATATATAAATTTGGAATACTCTGTATAATATCCTATATATTTCACTCTCTCTATACATAATAATTAGTGTATAACTCTCTCCCGTTTTATGTACAGCATATATATATAACCAGTATAGAGTAGAGGCCTCACTCGATCTAGTGGAGTCCTGTAGCTCAGTGGTTATAGCACTCGCTTTGCAAGTGAGAGATCTGAGTTCAGTTCCAGACAGGTCAGGGCGAAACCTTGGGCAAGTTTCCTTACTCCACACAGAGCCTAATAATAATCCCTCCAAAACCAAAAACAATAATAAATTGGTCATTTTCAATCTACGACTGTTTGTGGGACATTTCTGTGCGCAATTGGCTGCCGCGTTCCCCAACAAATATATAGTCAATTCACTTTACAGTGTGTTCTGTGAAGCGCTTTGGGACGTCCTCCCGACGTGAAAGCGCAATATCAAATGCAAGGATTATTATTATTATCTATATATATGCAGTGTGTAACCCGCCCTCTATCTGTATATATCCAGTGTATAACCATTTCACTCTCTCTAATAACCACTAACTAACCCTCTGTCTCTCTCTATAAATATACATATAGTGTTTAACTTGCTCACTCTATATATATATATATACATATGGTGACTGGAACACTTCAGGTAATGATATATTATAATAATAATTCTTGCATTTGATATATATAGTGTATGTGTGTGTATATATATGTAATATCCCCTATCTGTCCATCTGCATATATATATTCAGTTTATAGCCTTTTCACTCCCTCTATAATAATCGCTATCTAACCCTCTCTCTATATATAAAGTATGTGTATATACACATATATATCCCATCTGTATGTGTCTGTCTGTGTGTCTGTCTGTGTGTGTCTGTCCGTGTGTCTCTGTCTGTCTGTTTGTCTGTTTATCTGTGTGGTGTGTCTGTCTGTGTGTCTGTGCCTCTCTATCTGTGTGTGTCTGTCTGTCTGTGTGTGTGTGTCTGTGTGTGTGTCTTTGTGTGTGTGTCTGTGTGTGTCTTTGTGTGTGTGTGTCTGTCTGTGTGTCTGTTTGTGCGTCTGTCTGCTTGTGTCTGTATGTGTGTGACTGTGTGTGTCTGTGTCTGTCTGTGTGTGTCTTTGTGTGTGTGTCTGTTTGTGTGTCTGTCTGTTTGTGTGTGTGTGTGTCTGTCTGTCTGTTTGTGTGACTGTCTGTGTGTGTGTCTTTGTGTGTGTGTCTGTGTGTGTTTTTGTGTGTGTGTGTCTGTCTGTGTGTCTGTTTGTGTGTCTGTCTGCTTGTGTCTGTGTGACTGTGTGTGTGACTGTGTGTGTCTGTCTGTTTGTGTCTGTGTGTGTGACTGTGTGTGTCTGTGTCTGTCTTTGTGTGTGTGTCTGTGTGTCTGTCTGTCTGTTTGTGTGACTGTCTGTTTGTGTGACTGTGTGTGTGTGTGTGTGTGTGTGTGACTGTGTGTGTGTGTGTGTCCGCGCTGTCAGGTTGTGGTTACCGAGGTCCCGGGCCGGGGCTGGGGGCCGGGGCCGGGGTCGGGCGGGGAGGCCGCTGTGTCCCGGGGCTCCATGTCTCGCTCTCAGGGAATCTGAAGCGGCTTCATGGCTCCGGGGGGTGTGGGGGTGGGGGGGTCCCGGGAGGTCCCGGTGTCGCCGCCGCCGGTCCAGTTCACCCGAAAACCGTCGTCCACCGTCGTCGTCAGTCCGCGAGCAACTTCCGCTTCCGGGTCACAGTTTCCTGGCCCCGCCCCCTCACCCCATCACCTGTCACTTTGCAGCTCAATCCGCCCCCAAATACACCCCCAACACCAAAATAATATAGTAATATAATATAATATTCCTCGCATTTGGTATAACAATCATAATATCAATCCTTGCATTTGATCAGAGCTCCTTATCAAGTGTTGAAGGCGCCTCAAAGCGCTTCACAGAATACACTGCGATTTCACCCACACGACGAAGACAGAGCTGAAAGATGGCGCGAGAAGGGGTCAGCGGGTAACGGAGAGGGGAATCCTAAAGTATTTTACGAGCACATACCGGAAACAAGGTTAGTTAACGGTCGGGTGAGGCCAATCAAAGGCAATGACGGCCATCTTGTGGTGGAGGCGGAGGGCACATCGCGGCTCTGACGTACTGAACGAGTACTTTGCGTCTGTCTTCACAACGGAAACGGAGGCCCCAAACGCCGCAGTGTTGGAGGAGAGGGCAGAGGACATAGATCGGATTACTGTAGACAGAGAGGAAGTTCTGAAAAGATTGACTGGGCTCAGAATTGATAAGTCCCCAGGACCAGATGGGTTTCACCCAAGGTTGCTGTGGGAGATACGGGTTCAAATAGCGGAGGCTTTGGCCATTATATTTCAATCGTCATTGGACACAGGAGTGGTGCCAAGAGACTGGAGAGTGGCTAATGTTACCCCCCTCTACAAAAAGGGGCAGAAAGACAAACCCGGAAATTACAGGCCAGTCAGCCTAACTTCGGTAATAGGAAAGCTACTGGAGACCGTAATCCGGGACAAAATAAATCTCTACTTAGAGGAACACGAGGTAATTAGAGACAGCCAACATGGATTTGTTAAAGGCAAATCTTGCCTAACAAATCTAATAGAATGTTTTGAAGAGGTGACTGCGAGGGTTGATGAGGGAAATGCGGTGGACGTTATTTACATGGATTTCAAAAAGGCTTTTGAGACAGTACCACATAAAAGATTAATACAAAAACTAGAGGCCCACGGTATTAAGGGGACAGTGGCAGTTTGGATTAAGAACTGGCTGAGTGACAGAAAGCAGAGGGTGGTGGTTAATGGGTGTTTCTCGCAATGGAAGGAGGTGTGCAGCGGTGTCCCCCAGGGATCGGTATTGGGACCACTGCTCTTTCTAATATATATTAATGATCTGGACTTGGGCATAGAGAGCACTATTTCCAAGTTTGCAGATGATACAAAGTTAGGTAGGGTAGTAAATAGTGAGGAGGACTGTAACCAACTGCAAGCAGACATACACAGAATGGTGGAATGGGCTGACATGTGGCAGATGGATTTCAATGTGGATAAGTGTGAGGTGATACACTTAGGTAGGAAAAATGATAGGAGGCAATATAGACTTGGTAGCTCAATCTTAAGGTGGGTGAATGTACAGAGGAGTGTTCAAGTAAGCGAATCATTAAAGGTAGCGGGGCAGGTAGATAAGGCAGTAAAAAAGGCATTTGGTGTACTGAGCTTTATTAGTAGGGGCATAGAGTATAAGAGTAGGGAGGTTATGGTTAATCTATGAAAAACACTGGTTAGGCCTCAGCTGGAGTGCTGCGTCCAGTTCTGGGCACCTTACTTCAGGAAGGACATTAAAGCACTGGAAAGGGTGCAGAGGAGATTCACGAGAATGATACCAGGAATGGGGAACCTTAGCTATGAGGACAGGCTGGAGAAGTTAGGACTTTTCCCATTAGAGCAGAGAAGGTTACGCGGGGACCTGATAGAGGTCTTCAAGATCATGAAAGATTTTGACAGGTGAGATAGGGAAAAGCTGTTTCCGCTGGTAGGTGTGTCTGACCCGCGGTCACAGTCTTAAGATATCTACCAAAAGAAGCAGAGGGGAGGTTAGAAGAAATTTTTTCACTCAGCGAGTTGTTCGAATTTGGAATGATCTGCCCGAAAGGGCAGTGAAGTCCGATTCGATAACAGCTTTTAAGAGAGAACTGAATAGGTATCTGGAGAAGACAGGTTTGCAGGGTTATGGGGAGAAAGCTGGTGATTGGGGTTAATGAAAGTGACTTGCTCTGTCAAAGAGACGGCACAGACTCGATGGGCCGAATGGCCTCCTTCTGGGACAGAACATTCTATGAATCTATGAATATACAGTCAACTCGCTTTACAGTATATTCTCTGAAGAGTTTTGAGACGTCTCGAAGACGTGATAAGGCCCTATGTCAAATGCAAGGATTATTATTATTAGTGTAAAGTAAATTGAAGTATATTTTGTGGCCCAACGTTTTGCCAGTTGCTTTGGTTTCTTTTGTCCTGTGCGTGAACAAAAGCAGCTTTAGACGGGTGTAGTTTTTAAAATTTTATTTTAAACCTGCAAAATATTCACCCCTTCCCAACCTCCCCTTTGAAGACCTTTTCTTACACAGATTCAAAAGCAGTGAAACCTATATAAGCCTCTCTGCTACCCTATAGGAGCGACACGTAATATTGGGCTTCTTTTTGGCTAGTGTTTGGTTGACTTTGGGCTATAAATGTATTTTAACTTGTATCAACCCTGCTGCACCTGAGCACTTATATCACCATCAGGGCGATACATAACGATTTGGTCACTCAATCCATAACTTTATATGGGAAACTGCTGTGTGCAATTGGCTACCTCATTTCGCTCACAAAACATACAGTCATTCTACTTTACCAAGTATTCTGTGAAGTGCTTTGAGAAGCAGAGAATTCAATTATTCTTAAGAGTCTGATTCACAAGTCCTATTTGAGAAATTGTACACGTTGATCAAATAAGTCTCGCTGTGGTAATGAGATAGAAAGAAATACAATTGGTGTCATAATATAAAATAATAGAACTCATTACTATCTGCAACACAGATAATTACAGAGATTAATAGCAGTGCTGATCTATTGGCAGATAGGAATCTCGCCATTACTACCTTCTGCTCACTGTGCAACACAGATTATTGCCATTACAATTATTTATTTCTTGCTCTCTTACAAAGTAATGGTGCACTTGAATTTAATGAGTTATGTATATTGCCACTGATTCAAAGTGAAGCATTCTATTACTCAGTCTAATGGCACAAGTCCCTAAGGATCTTGTTAGGAACAGCCCAAAACCTTACTCAGCAGTTACTGAATCAGTGGCAGCGCCTCCGAATTCTATGATTAAACATCTGCAGAGTTGTGTGTCGAGAACAATATTATCCTCTTTCTGTAGAAATCTTATCCATTCTCCTTAGTTGGGTTAAATTCATCAACACAGAACAGCTCTAGCCCGTGCAGTGAAGAACTAAAAGAAAGAGAATTTTTAGTACCACACAAAACCAAACCTGGAATAGGTCACTAGACAGAAAGCATCTCAAGACCTTCCTCTTCAACCACGCCTTCGGTCATCTTCACACCTCCACCCCACCCCTTGCCCTCCACCTCTCTTGACCACCAGACCCCAGCTCAGGTACAAACCCTTCACTGTCCAGCGCCTTGGGACATCCTCCTGACATGAAAGGTGCTATATAAATGCATTTGTTGTTGGTGGTGGTCAAGGCCAAGACATTAGAATAGTTTAAGAAGCAGCTTGATGCTGTAAAACACAAAGATGGTAGAGTGGGTATTCTAGAATGAGACCACATGGGCTAAATCTGTTATGATCATGTGATGAAGATTCTTTCTAGCAATAATCATTGAAATAATCTTGTAAAGTTTGTCCCGGGTAAAAGGGTTATCTTGTACAAATACAAAGAGTGCTACATTTAATTCAAACCTGGCACCCATAATAAGAGCAAAAGAGATGCTGACTGTAGCTGGTAGGTACGTGAGACTGGTCAGTAACTTGGAATGTGGACATCAATCTCACAATCTGACAATGCCCCGAGGCATTTCAGGGGCTATGTTTTTAGCAGAAACAGCTGGTAACAGCTTTTTTTTGTGTGTGGATATTATATTTAAAAGGTGAACAATCAAGCTGTGTCAGTATTTTCTATACTCTCTAAATCGTGCAATGATCCACACTGACATTAATTATTAACGGCATGGTAGGACTATTGTCTTCAGTCACTTATACTAACCCAGGTGGTCTCATAGGGAGACTTTGTCACTTCAATAGAGTGTGGCATTTCCTTTTGCTTTTGAAGTCCATCCGCATCATTATTGAAGCACAGCTCTTTGGAAAACAGTGTAAAGGTCAACATTAAAATTTCATGGCTTCCCACGGATCCAGATGTCACATCACAAAAATAGGATCCACATATTACCATTTAGGCCAACATCAGACTTCTCCCCTCGCCCCCAAATGTGTCAGCACTTTGACACTTTATTCAAGTGCGAAGTTTGTTTTTATAGGTCTACTTTATAGAGGCAAATGCTCAAATAAAACTCATACATTAAAAAATGTTTACTCCAGTGCAACACATTAATAGTATGGGACTATGGGAAGCTTTTCACTTAAAACTGGCCCCCTTCTTTTTCTCTAATTGATCACTCCAGTGGGGAAGCAAGAATGGCACAGGCATGATGGACAGAATGGTCTCCTTCTTTGCTAGACTCTTTGATTAAAAATGTAGACTTTTTGCATTATTGTCTTCCTTCAAGGTCATTGCGCCCAAGTACCTCCAAGCAAAAGAGTTGAATGGTCTGAGTTACTGAATCTCCATTGACTGCCAGCTGCGTTGCTCTATGATAACAAATTACAAACATGTAGCCGGTCTCCTCCACTGCTTCCCCAAAGGAACCATAATTCAGCAGGCTGATGTAAACTCAGCACAAAGATAAATAAACAAGGACAAGTGGGCTCAAATACCAGGCAGCTTTAACACTTAAACTCATAACTTTCCGACTGGGAGTCAAATATGCTGCGATCA